CAGTTCAGATGAAGTCAACAAACTGAAATTACTCATGAACAATTGCTTGACTAGCCGACCGACCTGGTTCATAGTTTTCGTCGAATGCTGACGGATGTATTAGCTTCATAACATATCGCAAATCATCGTCTTCAATCAAGCCAACTATCATAAGTGAATTGAACAGTTTGAAGAGTGGCCTGAAATTCGACATCGCGACACTTTCACCTCTTTGCCCATATGATGCACCAGCACTCTCCCTATCACCTAACCAATCGCACTGTCTCGTAACATCAATCATGTACTTCATGGTAACTAACTCTCTGCGAGAAGATTTTAACCATTCTTGGACGGAACTTAGGCAAAGATAACTTTTCCTTCATGTAAACCAACTCAACATGCGTTTCAGCACGAAAACATAGATGAAGAAAAATGACGATGCTAAATTTTACTCGAAATGATTGAGATTATTTCCACCGATTAAATCCCGGCAACTGATGACCGCATGTTCGGTAGCACTTGTCAGCGCATCCATCACGTGCGTTTTCAAAGCTTGGAAATTGAACTGTGGTGATAACAGTTTCATTACATCGTCACGTCCGACGCTGAATAACAACGAAAAAATTTTATTTGAAGTCGAATTTAAGAAATGTTAAACTACATTCTTTTAATTATGATTCGAAAAACGTCAACTGTTTGTATTTGAAGGTAGTCACGGTTCATTTAAGTTCCATGACTAACTGTTTTATCAGAAATCGAATTAAAAGTATGCTCAGTTTTATTTGTGTTCACTGAATCACAGTACACTATTAGATCAACGGAAACAAATTGATAATTTAAGATTGAGAAGAATGCTTAAATATATTGAACGTACTTTGTTTGCACTTCACTACAGACCATAATTGGTCGAATTGAAACCGATTTACCGCAGATCTGTGGGAAACGATCTTCTGAACTCGGATTGAAGACATTCTTCGTCGTAAGTTCGGGCACCAACGGAACAACGTACTCATGAGCAGCTGATATGCGAGCGTCGACGTGCGTTTTCAGATGGACGGCTATCAAGAAGTCATGAAAGCCTTGACGCATTGGGCCAGACAGATCTGTCAAATCAGTGAATCGAATCAAAATGGATCGAAATGAAGAGTACAATGAAATTGGTGAACACAATGATACCGATATCATTTCCTGCATTACATCTGGAAGTTCGAATGAGCTCGGAATCGGAAGTGTGAAAAACAACTGTGAGATTTTGTATTCAACTTTCTGAATATCTCATCGTCAAGAAATTCTTCTGAATTAAAGATGAACGCTTTGAAGGAACCCAAAAAAGAATTACTTTTCAAACAGATTTTGAAATATCCAAATTTTTAACCGAGAAGCAATTGACTCACAATGATTCTTGATCGCGTACATGATTTGATCTTCGTCAACGTGGCCACACAGAATATGCGCCACTTTTTGGTTGCCGTGTGCAGCGAGTTTACAGTACAAATTCAGCGTTTGACGATGAAATTGCAAATAATTCGGTTTCTCGATCATCTCCAAAATATCGAAACTCATATCTTTTTCTGGTACGTAAACGGACATTATGCGTACCGGATCATCGCACAGCACCGACCAACCTGCACATATAAGATATCGTTCTATTGGTAATTCGCAAACAATATGTCTACCATATCATGGAATATTGTCGATAGTGAGCTTTTGCTATTTGAATTCATATTCTTTGAACAATTTCATGCTTGTTTGAGGTGCAAATGAAAATCATCATTGTTAACACCATAGCGAAATCATGAGGCAGAAGTGAAGCAATCAAACTGATGCGCATCATTTCATGATACATATCTTTCAAAATATTTGTTGCCGTTTTGCAGGCGAATCATACGAGATGTGCAGGAGTTGGCAAATAAGAGAAGGCAAGCTTACCTCTAACATCCGAAAGTTTCAGTGCTGTGGTTCGGAGGCATTCATTCGGTACTCTCGCCCAATTATACGGTTGTAGTTTCTCGACGGTGAGCCGTGGCGGACAGAAAGGTACCAAACTCTTGCGTGTTGACTTGAACATTGCCGATGATAATGGGAACGTGTACTGAATCAAACAATACTTCAGAGAGTAGAATAAAAACCAAGAATATGAAATGAATTTGGTGTTTGTCGGCATCCAAGTGATGTATACATCTCGGTTTTGCTCACAGTAACATTCGAGCTCACAATTTGGTTTCAGATGAACTGCGCTGTGAAGAGTCAACCATTTGTGACAAGAGAAGAAACTTATGAAAATCCAGCAGAAATAGAAAAATCATTGACTATTTGCCGTATCAGATGTTCTTACCCTAATGCGCCCAAGTTCAAACTGTAGAATCTCCGAAGCTGTCGGTGCTACGAACGCGGCCGGATAAAGCATCGCACCTGGTTCCAACTGTAATCGCACACAACATCTTATAAAGTATTCAACTGCTATTGAGCAACAACTTATCGCAGTAAAGCAATGTACAGCACACAAAAGAATGAAACATGCCCGTTTTGTTTCAAAAGTTATCTGGTGATACATAAAATACATTTTAAGTCCAACTTGAAAAGTTTATCAGCTGAGGAAAACTCTTCAGCGATTGTGCTTCAACACCTATGCACCTACTTTGAATCTGATTCCAGTGTCTTGTCCAGCTGCCAAAAAGGACAGTTCACCAATCGACGTATCAATGATACAACCGATCAAAATACCGGAAACTTTCGCATTTCCAGTATCAGGCACAGCTTCCAACAGTGAGGCAGCGTTCATCATGTAGCAATTACGGTATTCCAAACTGAAAATATGGAAACTCAGCCGAACCTGAGAATGGAATGATACATTGTGGATAGTTCAATGATTAAGGTTAATTTTACTTCAATTTAAATTCACTTTATACTGGAATGATGATGATAAAGTCAAAGTGAAGTATGCTGTTGAATTCTCAACTTTGGAGAATTTTGAATTTATGTTTGAAGAATATGATCGAACCTTTGCATTGAACCTCCATACTGATCGATTTCTTGAAAGCGACAACGCCGGACCGCTTCACTAGCGTTGAAATTGTTCGCATGAAAATGATACTTTGGTGTCACCCATCCCACCCAAACATTTGCCGGGTCTTGACCAGGAAATATTCGAAGTCCATAGTAGTATTCATCAATCTGTAAACAAATACCGAAATATTCCTCATTAATGATACGTAGTCTCAGTACTTTCATTTTGTTCACATATTTTCCATTTATATTGGTATTTCACAGGAAATCGCCATATATTTATCGCTTTTTGAATTGATTTCTTAAGCGAAAGTCAGACCTGATCGCCGAGTTCAGTCATTGCTTGCAGATCGTCTTCTGGTATGCCACTGGAAACATTCGTAGCGTTCGTCTCAAGCGCCATCAAAGATGGACGACGATTCTCGACCAAGAAAGTGGCTGCTTTAGAGAGAGTTGGTGTGGGTATCTCTGGTTGTTTATTCTTCTTCTTCCTCTTTAACGAATTTCGTTTCAGAAATGACTGCCGTCCAGGCCCCGACATCGGCATGTCTTAAATACAGTCAAATTTGAGTTAACTCAACTTCAAACACAACTTCAAACGCTTCTTCCGTTCTTCAATTTATGTATATTTTTAGGTACTGAATGCATTCTCCAATTCTTCGATATCAAGATGCTGACTGTTAATGTCAACATCGATTCACTTATTTCACTTATTCAATACAGATGCAGTGAACGTGCTCTGCCTCAGTTTGCCATAACAAAATCACATTGTCAGTCAACGGTCAGCCGAATTTCTGACTTGAACGCTTTGTATTCATGAACTGAAGCTTGTTGTTTCAGCCGATCCAGGTGATCCCGATGCCATAATGTAAAGAGATCACTCACAACATCATTTCAGTTCTGTCCTTATCACTACAATTCAGTTATAGATCAACCAAATAGATCGCTTGTCATACCGTGAGCAAATGTCGGCACGGCTCCACCAGCTACAGTGATATCGGCCTCAAACGAGCTCGCATCCAAACTTGTCGATTGTTTTGTTCCAATATGTTGAAGAGTCGGAGCGTGTGTGTCACCACCGGTACGTTTACTTTCAACTGGTGTACTCTCTCTGCAATTGAAATCAACACGATTAACATAATCCATCTTCAGAATTTCAATCTGATCAAAACAACACGAAGAATTTGTTCAGTGAATGGACCAGTAATGCGCACATATCTCCAGCATAATATTGTATTTGATTACGAGAAACACACCTCGATAACGTACATCGC